GGGGGCAGCATGAAGATCTACTGACCTCTGTGAAGAGACGAAAATTAAAATGGTATGGTCATGTCACAAGATCCACAGGACTTGCCAAAACAATCCTACAAGCAACCGTACAAGGAAAGAGAAAGAGAGGAAGGCAGAGAAGGAGAGGGGCGGACAACATCACAGAGTGGACAGGAAAGACGATGGGTGACAATCTGAGGAAAGCAGAGGGCAAAGAGAAATGGCGAGAGCTGGTTGTCAGATACAGTAGTGCCCCCACGTTCACCCCAACCACGGGACAGAAGAAGAAGAAGAAAAATACAAATATGGCGTCAGTTTTGTTCTAACAAGTCAATTAAAAAAATGTTAAGGGCTTAACCACAGTTTTTGCTGTATACAGTTTAATTAGCTATAAGAATAACAAATGCCAATCTTTTTTAGCAGAGCAAGGGGAAAAAACAACAAAAAGGGTGAGACATTAAAGCTTCTTTTCATTCGTATAAATTATGTCAATCTTAAATTTCACAATAGCAATGGGAACAATAATGAAGAAATAGTACGTGTACTTAAATAGGAGACAGCATTTTCATAACAGAAACTTTCTTTGACGGAATTGTTCCGAGTGCGTTGTCTTTGGACAGTCTCTTTGAATGCTTCAGCAGTAATCCACCATCGTGTCGGTGCCCATTAGGCCTTATAATACCTCTCCTCTATAATTGTAAAATCTTTGTGAAATCTTTCACCTTGCTAATCACTAAAATTCACCAAAGTCTTCAGGAAAATCATCTTATGGCTAATAAAAAAAATAATCCTTTTTTTTTTTTTGGTCGTGTTGTAGCCCAACATATGAAAGATTTGTAACAAAGTTTTGACCACGTTCTTAGAATGTTCTGTTCTTCTGTTGCCCAAAAAGTTTCTTCAAAGACACAAACGATCCCCAGGCTCCTATCTCTATGTTATGTCACTTATCGAGTTTGTGATCAGCTGTTTCATTTGGGGGAGACCGGAAACACTAGCCCTTATTTTCTCATAACTGAGATTACGAAAAGTTGTACATATCTATGGAAACAGGCCCTCTCAATGTCCAGGCTTTTTGCGAATTCTTTCATCAAGCCTAATTTGATATGAAGGGGAGGCAAAATAACTTTTCCCCTTAACACAAGTGGTTCATAGATGATGTTCTTCTCTCCAGCTGTTTGAGCTGTCTTTGCGGATCTAATCTTTTCCTCCCTTGGTTTTTCATGTGATTATCCCACACACAAAGACATCATGGGTACTTTGTACAGCACCTTGTTGGTAATGTAAGAAGTTGACATTTAGTGGTGTTCCCTGTAGTCAAGTCAATCCTGCACCATTTTGTATGTGTCTGTATTCTTCTTGAAGCGCAACGGCGAGTAACCAAGAGGAATTGACTCAAGTGAATTTCTGTTATGGTGTAGCACACACTTCAGACTTCTTTTTTAACTGTCTAAGAAAAGTCTCCATTCATTCGGATCGTAGTCACATACACCCGATGCACTCCACAAATATGATACGTCGTCACAGAAGACAGAGTCCTTGTACGTCAAAGTGCAGTAGTATTTAATTTTTTCCGTTTTCCTTCTATGATCAGTCTTAACATCATTTTTAAAAACAGTTTTCTTTTGCTTTCGGTCTTGAAACCAATCTTTCTGATAAACCTTTATCAAATCATTCATTTCTAGATGATTAAAACAACTGGAATTTGAAATCGATTTGTATTAAACGTTTGATTTTTATCCACTTAAGTATACAACTTTTACAAAATCTCCAAACACTGTTTTTACGACAAAAAGCGGTATTAATAGGCAAACCAATACTTATATAAGATAGTTTGGCATTGTTGTAAATATTGAAGGTCAGAATGTATAGTGTTTGAGTTGTATATTTTAGAGCACAAGCAAGATATAGTTGTGTTTTATTACGTTTATAGCTAAAAAATATTGGCATAATTCAACTTTTATGTATCAGTTACTTATTCTGAATGAAAACTCACACAATGAAAGGGTCAACATGTTGCCCTGATTCATTAAAGCAACGTTTTAAAACAAAATATGAG